AGAGGATACAGCTGCAGTGAGAGGGTACAGCTGCAGTGAGAGGGTACAGCTGCAGCGAGAGGGTACAGCTGCAGACTTGCAGGGCAGTGTAAATCCTTCAACTTCTTATGTCTGTCAACTTCAATCTGACAGTCATTAGAACATTTCAGTTAGAAAATCAAATCTTTCTGATCAGGAGATGAGGCTGAATCTAATTACCTTTTGATTTAACATCTGAACTGTGTTACAGGAGGAACCCTGCAGAGCGACTGGGCAACCTGAAAAATGGACTAACTGATATTAAGAAGCACAGGTAAGTAGGAACTGACTATATCTGTTCATTTGTTGCAACAACACTAATTATGAGCTTACGTTATTTTGGTAGGCTGAAAAAAAAACATAAAATGTACAACCTTGGTGTTTTTCTCTGGTGAATGAAACTTAAATAAAGTAAGTTTAGTTTATCTCATACTGTGGTGTACTGTAGGTGGTTTAATGGCTTCAACTGGGAGGGGCTGAAAGCGAAGACGTTACAATCTCCACTGAAAAGAGAGGTCAGTATCATCCAAACACTGAACACAACAGATAATAAACACAAACACATACAAATAACATGTTTCGAAACAGGCATCAGCTATAAGTAAGAACACCTCTACAGTTGTATTTACAGTATATTCTACAAATATGACATTTCTGTGCCTTTTCTTTTTTTTTTTACAAATATGAGATTCCCTTACTGAACTTTCAACCTTCTGGAGGTAAATGTTCTTCTCCTCCCCCACCTTAGCTCACTGGACCGACAGACTACAGTTACTTTGACAACTACCCTCCAGATGAAGACAATCCTCCTGATGAGCTGTCTGGTTGGGATATGGACTTCTGAGAACCTCTGCTCCATCTTCTTGTTGTTTCCTCTCACACATTCTCATTCTGAGAAAAATAATAATAATAATTGTCAAACTGGATTTTCGGGAGACTACATCAGTGCTAGCCAAAGGGGAGCTGCTGGAATCCAAAGGCTGATATAAGAACTTAATGTCTGATTGACACTTGCAGCAGAGTTCAGTAGATGAAAGAATAGTAATCATCTCTGCGCTTATGGTTTATAAATCAGACAGAAACTCTACCAAATGAAAATCAAATGTTGGTGGTTAGCTTTAAAGTTAATACCAATATCAAAATATTGCTGTGGTTTTCTGAAATGTGCTGCTTCCTGAGTGGGGAAGAAATATACCATGTGATTAAGTTTTTTATTTTATTTTATAAAGCATCTAGGTCTTATTTTATCCCGGACAAGCCCCCATTAATGCTACAGCCCTCTTATTGACTGTCTCATAAAATGCAATCCTAACACATTAATTTACAAAAAATAGCACCCTATTTTTTTATTAAAATTAATTATCAAGGTTATCATTTATAGTAGGTTTATTTTATTTTATTTTATTCTTGGCTGCTTCCTTCGTTAGGGGTTGCCTGAAGCTCTTCCTGATGCAAACACAGACCACATAGCTTCCACAGCCCTCTGTGTAAAGCAAAGAGCTACCAACTAGAGCGTTCGGGGAGCAGATGGGGCATAACATGCACAGAGTGGAGAAAATGAGAGTGGAGGCAGATGTGGATGCTTTGGAATTTGAACCGGCAACCTTCCGATGACAGGTTCACTTCTCTAACCTCTGTGCCACCACTCCTTCTGCTAATATTTATGGTAGTAAATACCAAATAAACATGGATTCCAAGAAGCTCAAGAGACTGTTGATGATCACTCCCAAAACCCTGATCCGTTCTAAAGAAACACTGATCCATTCTTACGAAACTGAGCAGTTCTAAAGAAACACTGATCCATTCTTATGAAACTGATCCGTTCTAAAGAAACACTGATCCATTCTTATGAAACTGATCCGTTCTAAAGAAACACTGATCCATTCTTATGAAACTGATCCGTTCTAAAGAAACACTGATCCATTCTTATGAAACTGAGCAGTTCTAAAGAAACCCTGATCCATTTAAGGATTTTTCTCCTCTTCTTATTTTTTCCTTAATGTATTTAGGTTTAAGTTGATAAGGGCTGAATCCCACCTGAATATTTAAATTAAATATAATCAAATTATATATAAAAAAAAGGCATTTTCTTCATCCATCAAAATTTTGATTATTTTTATGTTTCTTTATTTTACTGTAAAATGATGTTTTGTTGTATTTGACCTGGAAAAGAAATTTAGTTCAAGTTCAATTTCAAGAATCTTTATTATCCTCAAGGGGCAATTTGTTTCACAGTCAGCAGACACATAAAACATCCATACTAGACAAGACAGAGACATTACTGTATGAAATCATCACTTCGAGCAACCTGATCACTACAGGGATAAATTTGTTTTTTAGTCTGTTCGTTCTACATCTGGGCAGCAGAAGATACCTGCGTCCAGATGGAAGCAAACTGAACTCACCATGATGATCAGGATCTGCCAGAATCAGCTTGTTCGCTGACCTCACCTTGGTCAGTGAGGTTCTAAAGGTCAGTGAGGTTCTGTTGGGCTGTTTTGCTGCACATCCTGACAATCCAAAGTTGTATGTTGTAGAATGAGAGTGCATTTCTCAACAGTGAGAGGGACGGTGAATTCTGGTTTATTAAAATATAATTCTGACATCTGCAGCAGGTTTTTCTGTTGACACAGCAGTTTCCTTCCAGGAGAGTTACTTTAGATTTAACAATAATAACGTTCACTGCAAATATAATGACCTGCAAACATTACTGCTCACATCTGTTTTCAGCACAGCTTGCTTTAGCGGCCATTCTTATTTAAGAAGCAGTTTTTCTGCACAAACGGCAAAATATTTTAGTACCGTGTTTACCGTCCACAGATTCTTTCTGCTTCACCTTATTCTGTTTATTCCTGGAGAGACACAGTTTTGTTAGTTTTATTCCGAGTCAGATTTTGGAGCAAAAGTCTTTTAAGAAGAGTTCATCCCCAGCCCAAAATATTGTCAGAATAAATAACTACATAAACTCATAAGCAGCCTAAATTAGTATAAAGGTGCTTAGCAGTTGAGCTATATTTCCTCAGTTTGACAGATTGCAAGAATTTTGTGTTTATTAATGATTCAAAGCTAAGTAGCAGGAAAAACTGGGTTTAAAATATCTAACTCTTCTGATGCATGCTCAATAATTCAGGTAGATAAGGTTGAGTCAGGTCCTCTGGAAGGATCCATCCAGAGAACCTGACTCAACCTTGTTAATGTTCAAATCTTATTTAAGTTCTGTGACTTCACTTAAGGAACTGATGACAACACCAAATACTCTTCCTGCAGCAGAATAAACCAGCTTTAACAACAACAACAACAACAAAAAACATCTGGAGTTTCATGTTTAGGTCAGAGGAACATCACATCATCCAGATCAGTCTTTTACCACCACACACACACTTTTTATGTCCTGTCAGATGTTGGACAGTAATGCCACTGACTCTTTGTGTGTGTTTACACTCACCTGGCTGTTTTTTTTTTTACCCTTCTAGTATCTTTTCTATTTATATCTATATCTATATAGATATACACACACCAACCTTGTCTGTTCAAGTTCAAGAATCTTTATTGTCCCCAAGGGGCAATTTGTTTCACTGTCAGGCCCACATACCGATGTCATGATAACACATTTTGCTGGGCGATTAATTGTCTCAGAAATTATTGCAATAACCGATAATATTGTTTGAAATTTGACAATTATTAGTAATTATTGTTAGATTTAAGAAGAAATGTTTATTTGTTTTGTCTGTAGTACCTTTTTTGACCACCAGATGGCAGTATAAGACTGTTTGAACTGAATGATGGATAGTGAGGGAGCGAGCAGCGTGTCTCTAAGAAAAATGAGAGAGAGGCCCCTTGACGTGACATGGGCTGTCTCTCTTCAGTTCTCAAAATAGCATTTTTCACACAAAGCTTTTAATTAAAAAATGAGGTCTTCAGCTTCTTTTTGCAGAGAAAAACAACTTTTCACACGAAGGCACAGGTTTCAGTCGTGAATTTTGGAGCTTCGACAAGACGGAGGTTTTCTCAGAGGTCGGCCTGTTAGCTTAGCTCGTAGTTTAGCTTCTAAGCTTAGCTGCTTTGAACGATCCAAAAACGGGATTTTGGACGATTAAAATGGATTTAAAGATAAAAGAGAAAGGGAGGGGTCAGCTGAACCTTTTATCATCCAGTGTCTTCAGTAGAAAGAGAGACACGAAGAAACGATAAAGCTGATAAATGAAAACGAGGTTGATAATTTTCATTTATCATGCGATTAATTGATTTATTGTTTATCGCTACAGACCTAGTTCCAAACGTACACTCAGAGCTCTAACCGATCTTGCAATATTGTGTCATTTGCACATTTGTTTAGGATGACAGTGATTTTAGTTCCAATCTCTGGCATGAGAAGCAGCTTTTTTCCAGCTCCAGATGTATTTTGTAAAGAAATTGATAGTAAAGTTTTATTTGTTCCATCTTAGAGCGTTAGAGAGTAATTAGTTTTTGGCTGTAGAAGAAAAACGTTTGTCGTGATGAAACTGGAAAAAAAAACATAAAGTCCACCAACACACCTCCCCCAGCCAAGAAACACCCAGCAGTCTCCTCAGAGCCCCTTCTCTGACACTTTACACATGAAAACACAAACACCTCCCCCACTTAAATGATAAAGTGTCGGCAGCGAGGTGAGGCGAGGTGTCCGAGCTGAAGAAATATTGACCTTGTTGAGGCTGAGTCAGCTGCGGTTCAGCTCTGGAGGAAAGTTCTGCTCAGTTTGAGGTGTTGATGATGTGCTGAGGAGCTGCGAACTGAGCTGAAAACCCTTCAGGGCGTTACAGGAAATGTGTTTTACATATTGTTTAAACACGGGAGATTTCATCTCATAGGAGCACTTACATGTAAATAGTCTAAATAAAATAAGCTGAAAGCCACTTTTGATCTTTTTCTTATTCCATAAAATGACTGAGAGTTTTTTTTTTAAATAAATATAGATACTGTATATTTGTGTATTGACTGTGTATCTCCTGTGTGTACAGTGATGCAGCTGGAAGAGCTGTTGCCTTAAATTCATGTTAAAATGTAGATTTATTTTCATTTAAAATGAAATGTTTTTGTGGAAATAATAAAATAAAGACTCCTCGGACTCATTTGCTTTACTCTTTTTTTTGTTGTTGTTACATATCTATAACTCTTTGGACATTTAGAACTGAAACCAGCTGTGTGTGCATGAGTAACAGCTGTATTCCTCGCAGCACGCTGCTGACCCCGCGTCCTCGTGCAGCAAGCTACGGTTTCATTTCTTGTCATGCATTTAGCTTATGTTGGTGGCAATATTTGGAAACAATGAAATTTATAAAGAAATAACAAATTAATCTACAGTTGTGAAGCGCGTTCTGCGCTCAGGAGTTTGTTTTTCCTGCAGCTGTGAGGCTCACTGGCGTTAGAAGAAGTCTAAAGACCAGATTTAAGAAAAGTTTGTTTGCACAACTCTTTGGAAAAGTTTAGACGGCACATTTCAGTTAGAACGTTCTGTGGTAAAGTCTGCAAAAATTGTACAAAAACCAACAAAGATGAAGTCCAACGTTCTGTGACCCGTCCATCTGAGCTGCAGAACTTCAGCTTTTATACTAATTTCAACTAAATCCAGTTCTTATCTGTGGGAATTATTTTAGCCATTTTTAGCAAATTTAGCAAGCAGGCTATTTCTGATTGAGCTTCACATTTTAAAATATTTGAAGTGCTTTAATTAATTTATTGATTTAACATAAACTAGAGAAATTGCATTGTCTGTGAAAATGCAGCGTGAATACGTGTTGCTGAAGAACAGCTGAAATTAGCTAAAAACATGCTGAAATGGAAGAACAAGCCCAAGTTAACAGGAGAAAGCAGAAAGAACACATATTTGCTGAATTTGGTTCAAATAAGCAGAAATTAGCACAAAATTTGTGAAAAAATAGCTGAAAAGTGGCAGAAAATGCAAAAAGAAGCTAAAACTACCAGAAGGAAGCAATGAGCAAAAAATGTAGAATTAGCTGAAAAACCTTAAATTAGCATAAAAACAGCTAAACAGTAGGTGAAATAGTAGAAAAAGCTGAAACTTGTAGAAATAAGCTGAAGGGCATATAACAAGCTGAAATTAGCAGAATGAAATTAGAAGCAGCACAAAAATGTAGTTGGAAAGAATCTGAAAGGAGCACAAAACTGCTGAGAAAACAGCTGCAATTAGCTGAAAAAATGTTTAACTTTGCAGGAGGAAGCAAAATGTTGTAAACAGAGCTAAGATTTAAAGGATGTAAAATGAGCTCAATTCATTTTCTATTAGAAATAATGCAGAAAAGGCTAAATATTTCAAAAAGCTAAAGTTGCACCAAGCCCTAGCAGGATTGTCCTGAAAGAGCTGAACGTTTTATGATTTGTTGAAAACTGGGACGAGAATCAAGTTGAAAAACCAACGGAAGGAAAATGGATCAGAACAGAGTGACTGCTTCGTAAACGTTCAGTTAGCAGGAGGAGATGCAAATCAAAACTGTTGGTGAATAACAAGGCGTTCATGTGCTCCGGCACCTTTAATTACACTTTTTTTTATTTTTAAATCTTATGTCAAAATTCAACAGCTAAACTATTGTCTCAGTTCTAAGAGCGTGTGTGGAATAAATATGATGTGAACATCTTCATGTCTGCAGACGGCTCTTTTGGTTTCTTGAACTGAGCCGAGCCGTAAACTGATCGAGGACCTGGGGTTTGGACAATCAGGAGCTCACACTGAGATTATTCACTCTGAGGAACAAGAAGCTCTGATGATGATGATGATGTTCGTCTCACATCTCTGCTGACAAAACGTGGCTTCGTATCTGAGCGGTCCAACTTGTCAGCAGACACAAACGTCTTCAGTCCTCTTCAAATCGATCCAGACGTCTGGACCCTTTGAAAGTGATCGATAGTTTTAAAGGATTTTTTAGAGCCTTGGCAGCTTTAAAAACTATTTCCCATTTTGATCACGTTAAATGGATGTTTATTTAAAGCCCTAAAAACCAGACTTGAAAACCCGTAAAGCTTACCTAACTCAAGGGATGAGCCGGTGTGGTGTTGATCTAACCAACATTTTATCAAAGAACCAGTTTATTCATCTTTGCTTCCAACAGCTTGACCTTTAATTTGTCCCCTTTCCTTTCAATCCTGAAGACATAAATATTAATATTATCATGTTGTTTTTAATGTTTTGATGAAGTACTGTGGAAGTACTAGAGGGAGAAGGAAAGCAAATCTGAATAATTATGTGGCAAAGAAATATAAAACAAAGCTGAGACTTGCATATTTTTATTAATTCCTTTGGAAAGAGGGACTCAGACGAGGGAGACCTTCGTGAATGCGTTCACCACTTTTCCTTTCACATCAATAGTGACAAATGTCCGTCAGGGGGTAAAAAGACCCCCGGCCTCAGCCCCTCTCCCCCACATCACACTTATACAAGATATGTAACGTACAGTAAATAAATAGATGTGTTAAAGACTTTTCCATATACAAATATACTTTATGAAGCTTATTGTACAAGCGTTTCTTTTTTTATTGAACATTTACAAGAGAAGGCTGAGCGATGAGGATGATGAAGATATTCTGTCCTGTTTCGAAACGACTTCCTGATCCGCATTAAAAAATAAACGTCAGAAAGACGAAACTCTGCCGTGGGAATTCTGTAACGGCCCAAGTGTGGTCCGAGATAAAAACACAAAATAAATGTCTCTGAAACATCAAAATAGTGAACGATTTAAAATATGTTTCTACATAAATCCTACGAGAAAACAAACGGATACAAAAAGCTCTACGGCCGCTCTCTGCAGGCGAACCACTTTGTTCCACAAACATCTCTCCGGCTGCTGACGAGAACCCAGTCCTCCGAGGGACCGGGTCACTCCGGATCAAATCCAGGAGCTCCGAGAGACCGGTTTGTATGTTTGAACTGAGTTTTATACAAAACAAGGAAGACGTCCAGAAACAAAATGATCCCGGGCTGGAAGAAAGTCCATTTGAATAAATATTTACTTTGAAGTGTGGAAATAATGTTCTGGTGTCAGGGGATCAAACATCAGACCTGATCTCATCAGACCTGATCCAATCAGACCTGATCCTATCAGACCTGATCCTATCAG